AACTGTGTAGGAACCTGAAGACGGAGATAGAGTCCCATCTCCGAAACGTCGTTTTACTCTTTTTATTACTAGACGATGGATAATATCCAAGAAAATGTTTATTCAATTGACTCTTCACCATCGTCAAGAAGTTTTAGCTGTTATTTATGTTCTTTCCTCAAAATGAAGACTTCACGTTTTGCAATCACACAAACCATTTGACGTAATTGGAAGCTATCTTTAGTTTAATTTGACCCAGTGGCATTTCTCTCATCAGTCCATCTGTCGGAGTGGAAATGGTATAAAATGAAGTTGCTGTTGTGCAGATCCTTTGTTTTCCGACGTCGTACCGCCTTGTGGCGATTTGTCTCATGTACGGAAACACAACATTGTATTCTGACATACAAAATAAATTGTTAACGCATTTATTAGTTTTGTTGTGGCTGTTATGATTAATGCTTGAGATGAAAACTGAAGTTTGCTTATGTGCGTATCGATCTGGAAGCAGCGAGAAGTCATTCATGAACAGGGAGTTCTATTGTCGGGTTCCAGGACACACGACGAAGTCTCAAAGCTGCAGTTGACATTAGGTTGTAAGGCACTTACGAGGTGCGATCGGAAAGTTTCTAGACTGCGCCTATGAAAACCCGTACACTTATCTCAGGTATTAAATTCATCCATCACCCTCGAAGTAGTTCCCCTGGGAGTGAACACAACGATCCCAGCGCCGCTGCCAAGCCTGGAAGCATCCCTGGAAATCTTTCTTTGCCAGCCTGTCAAGCACCATCTGCGATTCTGCCTGAATCTCTTCTATCGCCTCAAATCTCCTTCCCTTTAGCTGAATGTTCATCATTGGGAAGAGGAAGAAGTCACACGGAGCTAAATCCGGCGAATAAGGAGGGTGCGGGATGACGGCCATAGTGTTTGAGGCCAAAAACTGCCGAACTTTGAGGGCGGTGTGCGCTGGCGCGTTGTCATGATGCGTCGCATGTAGAGTTCTTCCTTTAGAATCAGCTGACAGGTCCCATAGCCTACCCCAACAATGTCGCACAAGTCGTAGATGGTCATCATCGACAGAGGTTCGGTCATTTTTAAAACGTGAATGCCACACAAACGTTTGTGCACGACCCATTGCGGACTCCCCAAATGCTTGCTTTAGCATTTCATAGGTTTCCGTAGCCGTTTTGGCGAGTCTTTGGCAAAATTTGATGCACACGCCATTCCGAAATCGCAGGAGGGTCGGTGTAATGCACTACCAAAACGTCCGTAACTAAGAAACAAATGCTAATTCGATGATGCCGGCTGGCACACTGATTCACTATGAATGTAGGCCGCACCCCCTAAAGGCAGAAGCTCGTCCTACATCCGGGTCGCCCTCTATTGGCACAGTCTTGAAACTTTCCGATCGCACCTCGTACACCGTAAACCTTAAGGCGCTCTTTGGGGTGGTGACGACGTGTAGACTCAGGTATATGCCAACGTTTTGAAGGCACATGCTGTCTCCATGTTCATAGTTGAAGCAAATAATTACATTAAGCGGGAAAAGCTATAATCAAATTCACTAAGGACATTTAGAAATAGCTCCGTTTTTCAATACAATTACTTTATTTTTCTATATTTTTTTCCATAAATGTTTTTGATATCGTAAGACATCACAGAGTCTATTTTTGGTTCGATTGTCCGTGTTTAAGCGATCTGATATCGTGCACGCCTTCATTTTGACGATGAAGTGGTTAGAATTCTCCTTTCTTGTTCGGAGACATCCGCGACACAGCGTGAGATTGTGTGGGAATTGAAGATGGTCTTCTGGGCTGTGACATCATGTGATCTCGTAGGCAGTTACCGACGTTTCGGAGATGAAGATGATAATTTCCTATGAAATGCTGATAACCACCTACAAGACCACGCGACGTCAGAACTCGGAACATCACGAATCAAATGAGATTCTTTATGATTTCCCTGAGTGACTCTGTGCAAGTGGTGGGTTGTTATCTAAAAGTAGGTCATGACTACTTCCTTCCCCCATTCATGCAACTTTTGTTTCATCCACCCTATGTAACCATTTGAATTCTGCAGCGTAGTTATGCGATGTGTTGCATTCGGTCTGCATCTGACACAAAATATATTAACCGCAGTTTCTGGCTTTGAGGCAATGCTTGGTGCAGAATCTGCTCATCACGTCTGTCGTCGTGAAACTTGCGTGTCTGAAATCAAGGGACAAGTCACGTGAGTTGCGACGTAATTGTCCGGTTTGGGGGAGGGGGTCTTGCACGTGCGCAATGCTAGACACCAACCCTGATCTGACGTAACTTGCATCTAAATCAATAGCAGAGCATAACATTGCTATTATTTTGATGAAAGGGGGTAAATCTTAATCAGACGCTTAAATACTAACGCAGAGAATACTGGTATCCTTTGTGAATAGTTATATATTAGTGTATTTCAAAAATTAAATGTTTATGTTCACTGTAACATTACGACTTGATAAATACATGACTCTTGTTAGCGTATAAAATTTTTCTCTGAAATGTACGTTCGTGAATATGGAAATGATTATTAATACTCTAACATCTAGTTGACCCTATTATATTTTCATAGTAAGGTATAAATTGTGGTAGAAAATAATGCTTTCCCTAATAATTAAATTATTATTTAGGTGGCTGTCTTCTGGGTTGTAGCGCCGTGTAGTGTCGTAGAACTTTACTAACGTTTCAGAAGTCCTTGCTGCCTCTATTTTCAGGGCTATTAAATTACTTGTGAGGAAGTTAGGAGGAGAATAAATTCTGGAAATGCTTGCTACTTCTCAGTTCAAAATATTTTGTCTTCCCGTCTGATTTCTAAGAACCTGAAAATTAAAGTATACAAAACAATAATCTTGCCTGTTGTTTTGTATGGGT